GACCTTTGATTTTGTTGTTGGAAAGGTCTATGGTACTTAGTTTTCTTCCGTATCATATGAACTCAGGGAACTCAGTGATGTTGCAGCCTCGCAAGTACAAACTTGATGGAAAATTCGTATGGGAAGTGATATTTGCTGTTGAAAGAGGGATGCCCCAGAGATATTGTGACATCCCAATTTTATCAAATGACAAGGGTTTTGTGTTACGTTTGTGTGCTCGTGTGATATGTATATCGCCGTCTCTGTTTTTGGACGAATTAAAAAGAAATGTTTTGAGCAAAACCCTAAGCCACCATTATTGTAAGACTATCGAAACTGTGCCTCATCGTCTATTATCTCCAGTCACCGCCTTGTGTGTTGTTGGCGTTGGTTGCCACCGCCGTTCCAAAGCTTACGTGGCCGCCGTTGTGAGAAACCATCGTGAGTCTAGTGGAGGAGAAGAGAGAGAGAGAGCGTGATACCATGGCCACCGTGTGTCAACGGAGATTGCCACTACGAGTCCCAAGATGTCAGCCGTAGTCACCAGAGAAGTTGTAGTCCATCGACATGGCTTTGAGGGTAAGAAACCCTAGATTTATTTGATAACTTGCACATGAACGTTCTGGCTTTGTCTTATAATCTATTGTTTTGTTTTGATTGTGATTGTTGAACCATGAGTACTCTAGCCACCGTGAGGTTGAACCGCTTTGTTGAGCCGTGGAGGAAGTCCACTGAGAGTAAACGCCGAGAAAGGTAACGGCCAAGTCTAACTCTCGTGGTTGTTATTGTTGTGTGTTATGTTGATTATTGAACCGGATCTTAACCAGTCTAAAACGAAGCATCTTAATTTAGTTAAGACAAGAACCGTAACTTAATTCATGTGGACGTTAGTTATTGTGGAGTCCTGAAGTGAATTGTGTAATCGTAACGTATGCTTTGGTTTGTCATTAAATTATTAGATTTGGGTTGGTTTAATCATTAAACCAAGTCAAATTAATTTAATTAGAAGAACACCAAAATCAATTAAGCGAGACTAAGAATTTGGTTTGGTTATTAAATTAAATCATGGATTATGAATTGGATATAAACTTGATCCGTTAATCTAAACCATTGCAGTCCAAGATTATTGCTAATGTGAGTTCATGATGTTCTAGTGGTAAACCGAGGATTCAACCTGATTGGCTAAGGTGAGAACTAGTTGGTGTCTTTTTCATATACCGATATGTTTAGATAGTTGCTTAGTTTAAGGTTAAGCCGAGCATACCTATATGTTACATTATAAGTAACATATATTTGGGTGATGATTGTAGTATATTATATTTATACGTATTTATATGTAGATATATACCTATTTATAAAACGAACTAGTATAAAATGAGAACAAAAAATGAATGTGTGTTGGTTGATAAGATGATTGTGTGAAATGCATGTTATATTGTGGTAAAATAATTGGTGTAAGATGAGAGAATGTGCCAATGGCACGAAGATGCGGTGAGCCGCGGAGAGTCCTCCAAGGAGGAATCCTTGTAGTTTTGTGATTGTCTATGGACGCGGGTTGCGGATAGATCAGGATGGCTGACGAGCCGACGAGTGTGAAGTGCCAGGAACAAGTGCAAGAGGCACGATGTGATCCATAGCACGAGCGAATAGTGCCAGGAACAAGTGCAAAAGGCACGATGTGATCCGTAGCACGAGTGATTTGTGCCAGGAACAAGTGCAATAGGCATGATGTGATCCGTAGCACGAGTGATTAGTGCCAGGAACACGTGCAAGAGGCACGATGTGGTCCGTAGCACGAGGATAAGCGTGTGTTGACATGTTGTATTCAACCCGTCTTTAGGGCGGTTATGGGACGTAGTCTCATTTGTTTGATGTGTGTGTCTTTGACACGTGATTGACTGCTTGTCTTAGGTTTAGACTTTGTGATTGTCTAAGCGTGTTTGTGTATGAGGACTTCGTGAGCCCTGAGGCTTGCCCTCACTAAGTGATTTTCAATTGCTCACCCCTCTCTCTTTTGCAGGTTAGTTAAGTCAAGACTTCGTTTGCCGTTGTTAATTGGCGGGTTTGCATTTAAAGATGGTTTGGGCCAGACCAGGAAGTCAACACGTTGACCAGCTCCGTGTAGCAGGTTCGGATCCTTTCAGATATAATATTGAGAGCTGCTTGAGAGGCTAGAAGACATTTAAGTCAACTATTGGACCGACTTTGTCGTAATTGTTTTTTTCAATAAAAAATTATTGTAAATTAGGTAATAGAGCGATATTTCCAATCCCAATAAAGTCTTTGAATTGGTTATAAATCAAATCTATTTGGTTCAATGAGGGAATCTTGAGTAGTAGGCCTGGGCAAAATATTCGTTAGATCCGCTTCGACTCGGTATTCGTTTCGATTTGATTCGAAAAATCCGAATATCCGTAAAATTTTGGAGCAAAGAATATAGAAAAATGTAGTATTCGTAAAAACCGGATCAAATATCAAATATTGATTTTTTTTAAGTCGGATTTCCGCTTCGATCCGTATTTTTTGATATGTATTTGTGTATATATATAAATATATATATATTTTTTGGTTAATTTTTTATGATATATATATGCATATCATAATATATTTTTGGCTTGTATTTGTAAACTCAGTTTTTTTATCTTTTGGATCTGTGTTTGTGACACAATTTAATAGTTTTTACTAGTGAAATGGAATTTATTGAAGGAAACAAAATCAATATCCCTTAAAAATAAGAAGTTGGTATCATGCGACGATATCTTTTTCCTAAATTTTATCTTATTATTCGTAATTTTACATGCGAGCGCTTAGCTTTTTAGGTTTTAATAGGTGCAGAAGTATCGAAGCGGATATCCGCAAATATCACAAAAAAAATCCGGATATTCGGAACGGAAATTTTCGGATCAAAACAAATCACAAAATCAAGTATTCGGTTGAGACGCGAATATTCGCTTCGTGCCCAGGCCTATTGAGTAGGGATGAAAGAGTGGCTGCCGTAAAAGAAATATCATCAGCTTTAAAAGTCTCTAATTTGGAGAATTGGCTAATATTTGGTGGAAGGGAACCTGTGAACTGATTGTTAGAGAGAGAGAGTGAACGTAGTTGGGTCAAATTGAGTATTGAAGCTGGCAAGTTTCCACTAAGTTTGTTACTCTCAACATTAAAATAGGTCAATTTTTTATATTGCCAATTGAAGATGGGATTTCACCAACAAAATTATTTAAAGAAAGATCGAGATGAGTGAGATGAGAAAGGTTCCCAAGTGAAATCGTAATCTTCCCTGAGAAGGCTGTCAATTCAATGGTCAGCTCTAGCAAAGAGTTATTTTCACAAAAAACGGGAAGATTGCCTCTCACAATAGGATTGTTCCCTAAGTTAATGAACAATATGCTGGGTATCCAAACAACACTGCTTGGAAATTCTCCAAACAGATTGCAGCCGGTAACCTTTAGTGATCTTAGAGACCGAATGTTTAAAAACTCATGGGGATATTTGAAAAAACATTTACGTAAATATTCCAGTTCTCTAAGGTTCCTCAAGTTTCGTGCAAGTAGATGAAGAAAAGATTCATCAATGGATAAAGAAGAATAGGAAAGATCAAGAGACACCAACTTGGTTAGCTAAAGAAGCTTCGTTGGAATTTGGCCTGAAAATATAGAATAAGAGAGGTCTTGTTTTTCTAGCCCCATAAATTTATCATACATAATTAAGAGAGGTCAAGTCTATGGCGAACTTGTTAAATTGTTGTCACCAAGGTTCAGATCATGGAGATGAAGCAGTCTAAAAAGACTACTATTGGATTTGAGCTGGCCATAAAATAAGTTGGAATTAAGATCAAGCCCAATCACTTTGCCTGAATTAGCATCACACGTAATGCCACCAAATTCATATCTACAACACTATGGATTGTCTATCTATAGAAACATTCCATGGATGAATAACGCTATTCATCTTCAAAATATTTTACTTATGTTATGCTCATTTTTTGCTTAGTTTTTGCTTACTTTTGTTCAATTTGTTTTTTTTTTTATTATTTAAACTATTTTAATAATCATAATATATTGATAGATGTTTAGTCACTATAAAAAATTTGCATCGAAAAAGTTTAGATTGGTTATTTAGAACAAGGTGGATAGATTAGTTACTTTAATTTTTTTTTTAATATTTAATTTAATTTGAACATTAATTTAACTATATTATAATTTAAAAGATTTCATAAATTCTATTATCCAAAATTAAAAAAGTCACGTTTCAATACTAAAAGTATGAATCCATGGACTTACGGTTCTAGTTGTTATGTATAGAAGTTTATCTATAGACCATTCTAACTTTTTTTTTGAAAAATTGAACGTAAGCGAAGGTTTATTTTTTTTTATATAGGCACGGGCCTATATGCATACCTTTCTAGAGGGAACTAACTAACAATTATTGTTAAGAAAGTATTATAAGTAGTATGCAAAAAGACAATGAGTAATAGACTAACAATCACATAGATAGATGCATAGCGGCTTTCTCATTCAAAGTTAACATTATTTCTGAGAATACATAATGGAGTTGCCAAATTTGTTACATTGAAAAGGAAAAGTGTATAGGCCTCTGATATCTCATTTTAGTGAATATGGATTGTAGTTGAATGACTAGTCTCTACCATCAAGAAGAGAAGAGAGGAAGATTTATAAATCAGACATTCAATTTTTGATCTTTTTCTATTTCTACCCCTAACTCTTTTTGTTTATTTTTCACTTTAAAAACTGAAAAGATAATCCTCCTATTAGTGATATTTATATATATATATACTGAATCAATATTTATTTATACTTGAAACTAATATTTATTAATTTATAAAGATATTTGTTTCAATCGTTTATATTTTTTAATTTTTTTAAGGTTTTGTAAGGTTTTGGCTTTTTGATTAAAACGTAAAATATTGTAAGGTTTTGGCTTTTTGATTACCAAAAATAAAATGGTAGTTGTTTTATAATGGTAATAGTCAAAATACAAAAACTTATAGACACATTAGTTTACTGCTCAAAAGAATCCGGAGCACCAATCTTGTTCCCAACTCTACGGACACAATCATTCCATGTTTGTTTACTTTTCGGAATACCCTTAGATGAAAAATTCTTAAACTCATACGTGGCGAATATGATTTGAACCAATCCAAGATGGCAATCTTTTCCCATCTTCAATATATCACGACAACATGCATCTGTAATTGGCGTCGTCTCATCCAACATGTTCTTGAAAACCTCATTTCCGCATTTTGTGCTTGGCTTGTCAGCGCAAGCCTCAAGGAAATCGAGCTGTTTGTGTGAGTAATGGTGAGAAATCTCCATGTCATATTCTATTGCGGGTGATATGGCAACATCTTTTGGTACCTCCTGTGAATCTGGATCAATTTCATGGGAGAAAATTGGACGATTCATGTAAAACATTACTACGGACACGATCATTACCATGAGAAGAGACTTTGCCATATTTGCTTTTGGTTTGGATGTAAGAATGCTTTTGGTTTTGGATGTAATTAAGAAGATTAATGACATGAAACAAGAAAACAAGAGATGTTATAGGGCAATCTGTAAGGGGGTATTTAATTGATAAAACGGTTATTCATTAATAGTTTTATGTTACTGGTTTCATAAACCTCAACAGTTTTGTTTAAAAAACGTTTACATTGGAGAGAAATTTTACAAGTTTAACTTTTAACTTGTCTTGGATGGAACATAAGTAGATTTCGGGCAAACTTGAAGATAACCACAACATTCCTTTTTCTTCAAATTATTACAAATGAAACTGATATAGTAGACAAAACACGATTACACGGAATGAAAAAAAAAAAAAAAAGATAAAAGAAAGGATTGATTCTGTTTGGTCTAGTTTAGTGAGATTTGAATTTTAAGCTCTTCCTTTCAAGACATGCCTTCTTAAACCGGGAATGTGAACGTTTGTAATGTAGTCCTTCCAGTTAATGCTTTCAACATCAAACCCAAACTCGCTCTTCTCGTCCTCTGACATCATCTCCATTAATATCTGTGTATTGTTGTTATCAAATCTGTAGTAAACGGCCTAGGTCGTGTCATACTCCTCCTGCAGGGAAGCACCAGAGAACCCTAGAAGAAGAAGATAATGCGTCACCTTCTTTGAATTGGAGTCGACCTCTGCTTTCGCAAGCTTATCTCTCTCAATTGGAGTATCCGCTGAGTATATCTTTCTTTCTTTCTAAAGTTTCTACTTGAGACTTAAAATTGCTGAGGTTTGCTTTTTCTTTTTGGTTTTGAGTCAGTCTTTCAACAATTGGAGATTGACTATGTCATTGAAGAGAGTCAAATGGAGTTGTTGCCATGTTCTTCAGGGTCAGCTCCAATTATCAGAATCTTCGGTGTAACCCGCGAAGGTGCTTTTTAAACTCCTTTACTTTGTTGAAAAATCCTTGCATTTGAGCACTGTCTAATAATTCACATTATTTGTTATCTGTGGTGAAGCTTTTTTTTATTTGTTATGACTTGTGTCTAAAGATGGTTGAATGTGACATGGTGAACGATTGATTAATTTGTATTCCTAGTAAAATGTCAGGTTACAGTGTATGTTGCCGTGTTCATGGGTTTAAGCCTTATTTTCACATTGCGTGCCCATGTTTATAAAATCGGTCTCAGTATTGAGGTACTTACTATGATTGTTCTAGTTTATTTCCAAGATCAGTGTTCATATTCGTTTTGTTTTATGTGCATCTGTCTGTTTCAGGAAAGGATGAGGAAATCCAATAGAAGTAGCAAGGTCAGTAAATTTGTTCACCATATAGAACTGGTGCAGAAGAAAAGTATTATGTACTATCAGCAGCAAAAGTCCGAGAATTTTCTCAAAATCGTTATTGCACTTCCCTCAATGGAGTCGACTTGTCTTGGTATATCTCCTACTGATATTTTTCTAGCTATTCTCTATAACAACGTGTTATTTTACTGATATTGTCAATGCATTTATTAAAACTGCTTAGGTAATGTACGTGATAACTCTCAAGTCATGTGCTTTTATTTTGGTAGGCAATGCTAAGAGATCACAAATTAAGTTCATATTCACTAAATTCTGTCTCAGCACATTTTCTTTCCAAGCAGGTGAAACCCGTTTTCTGCTTAAAATCACTATTATATAACGTGTAGTTAAAAAGAAGCGCAAAATAGACGAAAGTTATCGACCATTAGTGAAATGGATAAACACTGAGTAATAGTATGAATTACATGAAAGTGTATAACAACACAAACTACACAATTATACACACTTAAATACATATGATCAATATATAATCATACTCTAGTTGTTTCGCTTTGGCTTGCTATTTCCTTTTTCTTGGTAGACTTATACAAGGAATATACATAAGATGCAAAACCAAGAATCCCAGCTACCAGAGCTCCTTCCTTAAAATATTTAACGTCGGCATCCATAAACCGAAACGCCAACACAAGGAGAATGTTCGCTAAAGGTATTGCGCAGAAGCTGACAACATTAGAGAAAAGAGAAGAAGCCAAACACACAAGCCCCACAAGCCCTAAAGACATTACTTGCCACGCAAGTGATAATCCAATTAGACTCCAAACATAAAGTTGCTTCCCCTTCTTAAACGTTTCCAAATCTTCCTTGATATCTTTGAATTCACCACTTACGAATAATCCAACCAAACATATCAATGTTGCAATCATTGAAGCATTGGTTTGCATCAGCATCACCGCGGAAACTCTACTCTCTGTAGTTGGTATGACCTTTTGGAATCCTAATTGCATGATACATAAAGATAGAGAGAATGCTACCGTGCCGAAGAAGGAACACCAAGCGCCGTTACTCATTCTTGAGCCTTCATTATTTTCGCAGGGAATATAGGCGTCACCTGAAGATGTAATGCCTAAGCCTGTGCACTACAAAAAATATGAGCATTGACAGCATATGACGATAGCACGGTTATCGTAATTGCTATTAAAGATGATACTCGGAATTTGATTATAATACCATAGCATTTCAAAAACGCTAATTATACCATAACACATTAAAAACGCTATGCCTAGTAATATAAGAGTGGGAAGTTAAAATCACTTTAAACTGCCAACATTTAGCAAAAATTTTACATTTAGCGCACGCCCAAAAAAAAAAAAAAAATTATATTACTAAACAAAACCTAATTTTTCTTATCTTTTTCTCATTCTACTTCTCCTTGGATACCTTTTCGCTCTCTTCCTCTTCAAATTCTTATTCCTCTTCATAATCTACCGATTAAATCCGCCGTGATGTCCATATCTCCGACTTCTCGTCCTCCCTCAATCCCACCACCTGTTATCTCACCTCTCCAGCTTCCTCTAACCTCGATCTCGTTTCCCAAATACAGATATATCAGATCTACCCTATCATTCAATAATTGGGATGGATAAGAAGCCCTCCGTTGTTTCAAGGCAGTGGTAGAGATTCTGGTAATGGTGGATGGGATAACGATGATTCGTTCAGATCTTCATCTACAGATATGAGGCGTGGTCGTGGTGCTCCGGCGAAGTCGGAATCGTCGGAGGATATATATTCTCGGTCTCATATGCGGTAACATCGCTCGCTTCATGTAAGTCTCTTTATCTCTTGCGCTCTACACGTAATTTCGATTTTCTTAAATCTGGAGATTTTCGATTTCGATGGCTTAGTTGAAAATTTTGTTACTGATTCGGTGTTTTAATCTAATACGCGTCAAAATTTCTGGTTAATTTTGTTGTTGATTAGGGTTTATAAGTTTCTGGTTTGGATTTGTAGGTGAATCTTTAGTTTCTTTTTTTTTTCTTGTTTTACTTTTGAGCCTTTGTACATTGCTTGATGAGGCTCTTACACAAGTCGTCGACCAACCCTCTTTTGCTTTTATAATTGATAACAGCAAGCGTAAGTTCATGAGCTCCATCTTTTGTTATTAAACCATCATATGTTTCAAGTTGACTTGATTTTAATATACAACGATGTGTGGTGATAAAAACATAAAAGAATGTGACTTGGTGTCCTCTAATAATTGTTGTAATAATGAAAACATGTGACTTGGTGTTCTCTAAAAAATTGTTGTAATAATGAAAACATGTGACTTGGTGTTCTGCAACAATTGTTGTAAAATTTCTCTTATGTTAAGTAGAGTGATGTTTATGATTCCCAATATATGTTGTGTTATATGTGTGTTAGGAAGCATTGGAAGAAAGAGGAAAGCTATGCAGGAAGAAAGTCTTTGTTTTTGGATGTACATAACGTAAGCTATTTCTCTAATCTTTTTTCTTGTTTTGATTATTGGCAGCCACTTTCTTCTTATCATTGGACTTAATACAACTGTGAAGCTATACTCTAACACTAATTAATTCGAGACTTAGCCAAGAGCTTTGCCAATCAAAGCTACTGGAATCAATGGAGAAAGAGTCATATTTCTTACCGGCGCAATGTATGATGCCTTGTCTCAGAGTTAGTGGTGTTGTTATAGTCACTGAAGTATGCCACAAGGATAAAGAAGTGCTCTGGTAAAAAACTTTGCTTCTTTGTTTATTTCTTTTATGTTCCTGAGTTGCTTTGATTCTGAAGGTGACCAAAATTAACAGATGAAAGACCTCAAGCCATGGCACTTGTGTTGTAATTCTGATTATGAAGGTACTTAAAGCACACAAGTTCAAGCATCTGCTCAATATCATATTACAGAACCTAATGCCTATTTTGATACTTTCTTTTACTTTTATTCCTTCTTGATTCATATTAACAATTACTGAGATGGAATAATATTTCTAGATTTTTGAATTAGGCTTGGAAAATTATGCCGGAGTTCAAGTAAGAAGTTGCGGCCATGTCTGGGCTCGGGTAAGGAAAATTTTGGTCTCGTTTTAATGGGATTTCATTAACAAACGTACATGAGTAAAAGAAAAAACCAATGAAGATAGGCTTGTTGCAGGTGTTATAAAAGTTGTTAAGGTTCTCTAATGGCTCTTTCACTACGAGCTTCATCACAACTATAAGGTTTGAATCTCTTTAACCATGTAAAGAGATTAGAGACTGTGATATATGAATGATTCTCTTTTTTTTTTCCTCTAGATGTCTCTCTAAGTTTGTTATCTTTTTTAAGTTTGATGCAACATTGATTTTAAGATAAGGACTATAGAGGGATTATGCACGGGAATGCTAACGGCAAGGCAAAACACATAGAGGAGACAAGATTGAAGTTTGTCTTTATAATGTTAGCTTTATTTTGTTTAAAACTTGGTGTGATGTTATGTAAAAATGGATAATGTAACAATATTGTTATGTATGTTGATGATTTATGAAATATAAAAATTATTATTATAAATCCAAGATTATTTTGCAAAACAAGATTCAAATATAATAATTTTATATAAATCACATTAAATTTCTATGTCAAATATAAAATTCTACAATAGAATATAAAATAACACTAAATGTGTGCTATAATATAGTATATTAGAGAACCCTATTATCGCTATAACTGAACGATCTACGATAGCACGTCAAAAAATGCTATTGTATGGGTAACACCTACCATAGCTGCCGATGTCATAGCATTTGTGAATTCGCTATGTTATATGTATGATAGCATATTTTCCGCGCTAATGATAAACATATTTCTTGTAGTGGTGGCAGCTCCAGAAAGAACCATGGATAATATGATCCAACGGTTGAATTTTTGTTTGTTGATGATTGTTGTAAATATGGATGTGAAAATCAATTGGGAAGTAAAGATCCAAAAGAAAAACAGAGAATGAGTTCTCCCAATAGCATAGAGTTGGCTATAAGCCACAAAGAGGACGCCGAGAGAGATGTAAAGAAGAAAGAGTTTGCCAAAAGACGAATAACAAGGAGTAGAAGTTTCTCTCTGGGTGGAGAATGAAGAACGCCATAAGAGAAGAAGGAAGGCCGTAGAAGGAAACGCAGCGTTTTGGACTAAAGACTGGAGCCATGTTCCTCTAAATCGTTTTGGGTCATCACAAACATTTCTTCTTATTTGGATGAAGTAGAAGTTTAGAAGAAGTGTGGAAAGAACACGTCCTGCTGCGACCAAACCTGAGCAGACAAATATACAAATCCACCAGTTTCGTGTCTTAAGAATTTGTGACCTATCAAGAGCTGTTGATGTCGTTGCTCTTGGTTGATTCTCAACTCCAATATTTGCTTCTTCTTCTTATAAACCAACCCAAAAAAAAAAATTATAACATATATAGTTTTTATGAATTAAGTCATTATAGTTGACACATGAATGCACATACCTTGTGTTATTCGGTCCGGAGATTTGGTATGGAAACCCATGAAGTTTCTTGTGAAGAATTAACTATAAACTTTAGATGAAATAGTACCTTGTTTTCATGAAGTTATACCTGAAACTCTAAATAGAATTTTCTCAGACTAGAGATAGGAAAGAATATTGCAACAACTAACATAAACTAATACCATGACTTTGGATCATATATATGTATAGGATAAGTCATATTGATGTTCAGCAATAGTAAAAAATCTATAGTCAACTATACCAGCCAATATAATGATGAGTGATTACCCAACTGGACGAGCACTTCAACGCAACGAACATGATCTATTGAATGATTAAAAGATATATACGAAGCATTAGTAGTTGAAACTTTTATGGGAAGACAAAACACAAATAAGAAAGGAATAAAACAAATAATTCTTAAATCATGGAGACTTTCTTACTTCATCAAGTTGTTGTTAACACTCTTTTGAATATACGTATAAGTTTCCAGGACCAAGCTTTGTCGTCTGATTATGTATCAATTTATATCTTATTTGAACTTCTAATTATTACATGTATTGCCGTACGAATGATTAATGATATGAGTTATATCTCATTTTTGTTTGCATTTAGCATCATATGTGTTATTTTCTGCTTTTTCTATACAAAACCGGCTTTAGGCACAAGCTGGTGAAGCATGTGCTTGCGGCCCCAAAATATATAGTTCTTAATCGGCCCCATATTAGTAAAAGTCTCTTTAGTCTAATGGTTCAAGGGTATGGAAATATTATAAGTGTCTGAAGTTCGATTCCTTAGAGTAACAATTTTTACCTGTTTTGATTTTTTATCCTTTGTTACAAAATAATTCGGCCCAAAATATTAAATTGGGCTTGTGGCCCCAGTTTTCCTTGAATTCTACATATTTAATTGACCAACATTTTTATTTGCCAAATTGACTTTTCAATCCTTCTTTTAACAAGGTTTGGAAACGTGCTTACGTCCTTAAAACTATGTTTAAAAATACTTTTTGGAGGACCAAAATTTACAGAAATTCTCATAATTGGACTTACAAAAGTAGAGTTACTTTATTGTAGCACCCAAACATTAGTCATGTTCTGCATATTAAATCTCAAATAAGAGTTAGTCCATATAGACTTACTCATGTATTATTAATAACCATCAGTAAGCAAATGATGTGAAATCTCCTCGTTAAACATCAATAATATTAATAACACTTCAAGTCTACAACCACATTGAACAATACAAAACTACATGAACAATACAAGTCCACATTGAACAATACAAGAACAACACTCATGACTCAACCTATCACTTTATTCAAACGAAACATGATCATACAACATAGAACAACAACACATCATTTTCTTCATCCACGATTTGGCTTCCATCACTACATCTTCTACCCTCTCAAATATCTCTTTCGCGAGCTTCATTTTCATCTTCTCAAAAACCATCTTCTGCTGCTCTGTTCTCTCTATAGCTTCCAATCAGGGGCGGAGGTATAAGCATAACAAGGGGGTCAATTGACCCCTATGAATTTATAAAAATTATTTATTTACTTGTATATTTAGAAGCAAAACTCACAAAAATAGTTTAAAATGTGCTTATTGACCCCCACAAAAATTTGTTTCGAAATAGATTTTAGTCATTAGATAAAAATTGACCCCTATAACCGTAATGGCTAGCTCCGCCACTGCTTCCAATGGAATATGGGTCGAGAAGTAGCTTCCATCGAGTTTAATTCGGTTTATGGTTTGGGTTTCTTTGTTTCTTATCAGGTTAATGACTTCAACCGAGTAAACCAACCGCTATGTGGAAATAGGTTTCGAAGTTTCGATCTGGGAAATAGATGTAAAACTTTGTTTTTGGGGGTGAAATAGACAAGACTACAAGAGGGTCAAACTTTGGATGGAACTGGTGCTATGTGAATGTTTCGGTGGGGGAAATAGATCGTTGACCCATATTTTTTGGTAATGGACAATACAAGGTGAGTGAACATATAACCATAGTTTTAAGATGGAAATGACGGCAAGAACATGTGCATGTAAGAGGTGGAGTATGAAAAGGATTTCTTGTTTCCATGCATTGCATGTCATATTGATGAATAAGATTATGCCTGAGGATTAGTCTCCCATTGGTATTTGACATCAACATGGGTTAATCAATACATAGCGGATCTTGGCAGTTATGTTAATTTGTTGCTAGGTTTTTTTAAGTTGTAGGTGTTTTATGTAAGCCTTGTATTTGGTCTCTTATTTACTACTCTTATACATATGTATTGAATTGAAATCCTTCAAACTCAACCTCTTAATACTTAGGTAACTTGATAAACATAGCCCAAAGTTAAACTCAAACTCTTAACGTACTCTTAACTCATTAGTTAATTTTTGGCACACACAAAAAAAAAAAACTATTTAGTTAAATTGATGATACACATTACAAGCTTATAGTTAAAGTCATGAATATTTTCATAAACCAAATCACAAACTCTTATGCAAAGATGAAAAAATAGGCCATGAACAAGACTAAACCAAACACAATGAGATCTTTGCAGCAACGTAGCTCTTTTATCTCTTTATCACAACAATTGATCACGGCTTCGAGATTTCTAATCTTCATATCACATACTCTTAGGTTTGTTTTGAGAGCTTGTATTTCGTTTCCATAGCTATTGGCTAATGCCTCAGAAGTGTGTGTTTTACATGGTAAAGTCTCCATCTCATGTTCGACATCATGTAAATCTTTCTCTACATTTCCCTTGAGCTCTCTAATCTTCATATTAATTACTCTTAGGTGTGCTTGAACTTTGTTTCCATAGCTAGCTAATGCCTCACAAGTGTCTATTTTACATGGTAAAGTCTTCATCTCATGTTCGACATCATGTAAATCTTTCTCTACATTTCCCTTATTTAGTTGTATCTTCTTCCTGTCAATCATTTCAAAAACAATTTAATGAAAATTCAAGTGAAACGGATAAATGATTTGATATATCTACGATCATATGGGTAAACTGACTAATTTATAATTGATCAATCTTTTAGTAATTTAGAAAATCCTTAAAGACAGACAACAATAGTTTAATTCTTTTAAATTATTTCTTCAAAGTTGGAATAACTTGAAGTATAGATTAGACCTAGCAAGAGAGTGGGTAAAGGTAGGCATATAGGTGGGAGAAATATCCTTGATCATATTTGGATCGTACAAAGAATTTAATTTTGCTATCTTATTTAAAATCTCTTTTTTACGTTTTGAGTTTATGATGTCTCTCTCTTTCCGGTACTCTATTCTTTTCAATTCTATTTTCTTCCTCAACATTTCTTCTTCAGTTTTTCTTCATTTTTACTGCTTGCCTCACATTTATATAGAAGGGATTTGGAGCAAGTTTAGGTGGGGTCATTAAGGAAATGATTATTATATTATTTAAAAGATATTTTCATATTTAATACTTTTAGATTTGGTTTCATAGAATTTAATTGATGCTATTAGTATCTCACATTACAACAAATTAAATAATGTGTTCATTTTGACTTTCTATCTAATATTAATTGGATCCAAATACACGTACACAAGATTACATAACCATACATTACATGTCACACTATGATTAACTCTATCTAAACTTTAACTGTAAATACATTTTCATAAATAATGATCTGATTGCCTTCAATTTTTAATAGTTAACTAAAAACTCTTAAAATAGTACTAAATCTAAAGAAGTTAGAAGAACAATCCTATTTTTTAAAGGATGGATATATCTTCTATATATATATATAGTAAGGTAATGAAGGATGGAATCATTGCAAAATTGTATTTGAATAACTTTAAAAAAGATCATATGTACAAACCATTAAAAAGATCATAGATTTAGTACTATTTTAAGAGTTTTTAGTTAACTATTAAAAATTGAAGGCAATCATATCATTATTTATGAAAATGTATTTACAGTTAAAGTTTAGATAGAGTTAATCATAGTGTGACATTACATGTATGGTTATGTAATCTTGTGTATGTGTATTTGGATCCAATTAATATTAGATAGAAAGTCAAAATGAACACAGTATTTAATTTGTTGTAATGTGAGATACTAAGTATTGTGAGGAGGAAGTTCTGATTTTTTATCTATATGTGATGTCACATCATTAACTGTTTCTTAACATAATCATCATGATATAATATAAAGTTGATAAAAACCGAAAAATATTTTCTACATATGTTATGATTTAAATTTTTAAAAACGTACATATATTACTCAATTAATAAAAAAAAAGTGTGTGTTTCTATACTATGTCTAGACAATGAGTTAGAGTCGTTTTATAAATAAGAAAAATTGAATCCAAATCCTAGTCGTACGATGCATGTGAATCATTTATTACAAATTTGCTAGCATATTTAATGGAAAAATTAAATATAGTAGAAGAATATCAAAAGATATATCTAGACTCTAGTTACATATATGGACTCTTCAAATTTATGGAAGCCAAAATTTCTTACAACATTTCTCAAAATTAAAGAACCTACACTTATATATGACTTATGCATATATATTTTACAACTATGAGAATACATATATGTATAGCTTCACAACGAGTAATGCAAGTTACAACTTACAAACCAAACGTCATGGCACCCTTGAAGAATCATCGGGATCTTGATCGGCATTACTTTCTTGCTTTTTGCTAGTAAACGGGAAACCAAACAGTAGTTGAATTACTGATCTGACCCTGTTCGCACGTCGGCGTTGGCGTATGCGCCGTAGAATCACTTCCCGGTCTAGTGTTTGTGTGGTATGAATACGTTTGATGCAAATATGAGTAGACACAAAATCTGGAGTTTCAGTGTCTTCACGAATCTTGATCTTGTTCTTGGCTTTGTCGTTCGGTTTGGCTAGTGAAGAAGCCATGAAATGGAAAATGACAATTCAGGGTGTTGCCATAATATTCGTGTCGGTATGGTGTGGGTGAGGACGAATGATCCAAATCTTTGGGGTTTATTTATACATAAATAGTATATTGTTAAGGCTAAAAAATACTCATTTGTAGAACAGTTATTAAATCTTTCGATATATAGAAAATCAATGATTCAACATGATAATTGGCTGGTTAAAAGCTAGGATATATATTTTCCATCTTTATGGAATCACAGAAAATTCTTTCCATTTTAATATAATTGTTGGTTTGACATGTTTAGTCAAGTGGCTAAGTTCATCTGACTCCGCCATCTCCACCGGAGTTCGACTCCAGTAAGTCGCGTTACCCCGCGTAGTAGGGATTGGCTATGGATCGGGCTTTGTCGATCCAAAGATGTCAAAAAAAAAAAAAAAAAAAAAAAAAAAGAGACATGTTTACGTGAATTATTAAAAGTTGAATATTTAACTATAACCCTACATAAGCATAATAACTTTTGAGATTATATTCTATTTTATTATATTATTTTTGGCTAGAAAAACAAATTTAGCTGTGTATTTATAAAATATTTCATTGGAGTTTAAAACATATTCTTATAAAAACATATATCCTAAACGAATTTTTTGGTGAAACTGAACAAAAAGCAATATTGAAATTGACATAAAGCTATTACTCTATCTAAACAAGATATAAAGCGTATCCATAAGCTTACAAGAGATAGAATGACAAATGCGATCTCATAAAACACGTTTAGAGAATAGAGACTTTACTTAATTTTCATTTTTCCAAGAAACTAACGACAAAAAGAATCAGCATTTATATACTAATTCATTTTTTATATTACTATATGAAATGATATTCGATACGAAAACAGAAAGAAGAAGAAAAAATAATACTCGCTAAAATGCTAATTAGTGCTCATAGAATCTTAACTTAATTAAAGGTATAGCCAACTTTTTGAAAGTAGACTTTAAAATGAAAGGAAGAGCATCAACGCTAGGTGCTTCGACTTTCTCTCATTATACAAACACTCTAGTCGTATTTTTATATAATTTTGTAATTTCATATATATACGTAATTACGTATCAAAACAAAGTTTGATTTTTATTTTCTTTCTAACTTTTCAAATAATATACAAAGGATATATAACAAACAATTTTTTTCTACAAAAACATATTAAAGATACTAATTATAGAGTTTCTGAAAGATAATACAATAACAAAAATATTGTTGAGAATTCAGAAGCTCAAAAGACTTAAACTTTCTAGAGTATGAACCTCATACAACCAAGACTAAAGTAGTTTGGTGCAAAAACGGATTTGTTAAAACAGAGAGGCTTTTGTTGCAGCAAGAAAACAGAGCAAAGAGATATTAGAGATGAGAATAGAGAAGAAGGGAGCAAACACACGTTTAACGAGTTCAGCAGTGTCAATGTGACACTACCTACATCTCGCCGAGACCTTGTCTCGGAATCCACTAGAAATGAACAAAGATACAAGAGATATTACAATGTGAAAACACCTTCTCGCTAACACACTAATACTCTGTATCACACCCTTGTTCTAATGAGAAAACCCACCCCAAAGCTAATGCTTTCTATGTGTTCCTCTCTCACCCTCTTTCTACATTGTGTGCTGCTACAATCTCTCTCACGTCCCCAACTACTTAAATACAAGGAGACATCCTTAAACCTAGTGCACAAGATGACAAAACACAAAGGCTCCTCTTTGTGGTCCCAAAAGTAACTTAACCCAATTCTTAACTTGACTAGAGTCAAAACCTTAGTTACTTTTGATCTTCATTTGATTGTAAACAAGTTCTCATCTTTACAATCTCCACCTGAGAACATGTTGATCAATCCTAAACCAGCCTGCACTTAGCTTGAAGAGAGAGATTTTGAACCCTGAACCTTGGATTTCAGTCTTGGCTCTGAGTATCATTACTTGGCCTTTGATCCTTAGCAGTTTAAAAAACACTATAAACCTGCTTGATCCTTCCTGCATTAAACTTATATTCAATACACTTCAGCTGTGACTGCTCACACTGCTGAACCTGAGCAATCAACACATCTTTAGATCACGAGTTGTGAAACCCAGCTTCAATGCAGTTTTGCATTAAGCTCAACTCTTCCCTGATCACCTTCTATGATGCATTCAACTCCTGAATACTTGATATCACCGCTCAGAAAACTCTATTAATAAGTTACGAAACGCCTCCAACTTGTTAATATCAACAGAAAACTCCATAAGCTTCACCACCTATGAAACGTGCAATCACACATTCTCCACCATGGCCTCTGTTAGGACCACACACATGTATCAGTGATTGTAATCATCCTTTTTTTTCGTTCTGCAAACCTGATTCCTTTGTCGACTACTTGATTCATCTCATGTGCACTGAGCCTTGAATCAAATCTTTTTTCTGAATCTTATGCAGTATCTGAATCATCTTAGCTTCAGCTTTGAAGCTCTTGATTCACCATTGCAGACAATCTCATCAGCCCGTTAAGAACCACTGAAACCTGAGATTACTTTTACAAACCTGTTTAACAAAACCAATCCAGAACACATCCTTTGTTCAACTGTTATGTTTAAACAGCCTTTACCAGCAGATTTTAACCACTACCAGCAATCTTTAAACCTGTCTCACATCAACAAGACCTTGTGATAACCCTGAGACAATCCTTACAGCACCTTTCACATCCATTCTAGAATTCTGATGCACTTTCTACTGTAGTACAGTCCTGCAAAACCTGCGGACCTCCACCAAATGATTTGAACCTTGCACCATCCAATTTTCAGACTTAACCAAAGTCTTTTTCTTCTTTATCATCATATGATACTTGAAGATACTCCACTTGAATGGCCTGCAAGTATCTTTCTCTGAGAGGATACTTACATATACTCCCCTTTGATGCAGACAACCAAAACTAAAAAAAAACTCCTTAGTTGTTGTCTTCCAAATGCATTCTCTGCATTTACATCCTTCATAGGATTCCTTTTTCAGTTACCAAGACCAGCTTTGAGATGGGTTGTTATCAAACTTGATACACAACACTTTCACATTCCCGAAGTGAACAGCCTTGAGACAACTCCTGCAACACTCGTGCTTGTCTCCTTTCAGTTTCTCCTTTAGAGAACTCACTTAACCACTTCAATGTCTTCATCTTTGTTTACATCTTAGGATCTTCTGAAAAAAGCTTTCAGAAACCTGCAACTCTTTCATAGAAACCTGCAGCTCTGCTTCTGGATATCATCACCAACAATCAGCTTCAAAACCAAAAATTGTAACCAGCCTTGTACCCTCAGACTATAACCTTCTTTGAGCTGAAAAACCCGTTGATAATAAACTGTTCTTGACTTGTTTTCTTATTAGCATACTGAACTTCCATGAATCTGATAAACTAGTGAGTTACACAGCCATTTAACTCTTTTATCTTCAGCTAACCTTCCGAGACACCATCCACAAACATAGCTCCACCATGAAGGAAAAAATATCCTTAGATATGCATTGCTCCTTTTGTAGCAACAATACTCCACCTGAAACTATAACCCTTGGATGCACTTTTTCTCTATAAGCTGAGCTTCACCAATCTGAGTTAAAGCCACTTTTCACTGTATCTTGGATTCATTTCCACGTTCTTATGAATCACCATGATTACTTGCTTGAGAAAGTGTGTCAAAACATGAGACACATCTTCTTTCTTCCTTCAGCCACCTCAAATGATCCATTTGCAACTAGAAAACCACTAAGAACTTGTCTTTAATTTCTGCAGCCTTGTCCTCTCTTTACTTGGAACATTCTTCATGATCTAATTGTGAAACAACTTAGGCTGATACACCATCAAACCATACCTCAATCTCATAAATAAAATCTTGTACTTTCCTGTAGCCAATTCCACTATATACTTGTCTTGCACCGCTGTTCAAACGAACAGGACACGCCGCCTAACACCCTTTGGCTAGGAAGACTTTCGACACAAGAAAATAGTACAGCCAATTGCATACCATCAGATGCTTCTTTTAACACTTGAAGATCTGATCCAAAAAACACAAAACACAAGATACACTCTGAGAAAATATTGCTCCACCCGAGATAAGAACTCCATGTTCCTTAAGCAAAATCACCATGTGTTATGCCAAACACAAATTTGCGTAGAACATGAATCTTTTATGCTGCCACTACCTTGTCAAGAGAATTCGTTCTCATGACCTACAACCACAAACTGTCCAGCTTACACCAAACAAATGGACTTACAAATGACGCTGCATTCCCTCTGAAAAATAGCAGCCTTGTAGCTTCACGTTCTCTGATAATCCACAACCTATAGACTCTTTCATTCACAAGAACTGAGAACTACACACAGAGATAAACCTGCAACCGAAACCCCTTTCAAAACTCAGCCAAACCATTGAAGTGAACACCTCGAGACTTCCAGTTTTTATCAGCTTATACCGATAATAACACTGACATACCAACAACTTTTCAGTGCTCCAGCACATCTTCTCGATACAGAACAATAACAGCTTTTGTTGTTCCAACAAACTTGTTCCTGTTCTAGCAAACTTCATTCTCTGATTCACCCAATTCTGATCTGCAAAACCCTTTTTAGAGAATCCAGAAAACCTTACTGATACTCCACAGCCTAATACACGTAAAATTCAAGCTTCTAAGGCGTCCCTTAGTCCCATGAATGTTATGAGTTTCCGAGGCTGCGATTACAACAGTATTTAAACACCACCTGCAACTGATTTTACCACACAAATGTTGACCTGAAACCATCACTGAATCTTGGCCAATCGCTTGCAAAATCATAACACTGCCTTTGTGTTAACCAGCTTTCAACTCCCATAAACCTGCAGAACTTGAGCAAATCTGAAACTTCAATACAGAGCATCACAAACACCTTGTGACTGCAGCGGAATTAGACTTGAAATTTCCCATAATTTGAGTCTTGAAGTTTATGTTTTGATTCCTACATAAACTCTGATCGGTTTCTTCAGCAGTGATCAAGAAGACCATCTTTGATCACGTATTTCTTTCATTCATCTCTGAATTTTCTTTGTGCTAGCAACATGTTGACTTGTGAGTGATTATAAATCCTTCTCACTATGTTACAGCTTCTTGTACCCTTTAAGAACTTAGAGGAAACCTGATTTCATGACCTAGAAATCACCTCACTTGATTCAAAACTTCTGCTATATATGAATCTCTCCTTATGGTACAACTTGTTAACATCTCACTTTCACACTCAACTACAAACCATAACCTGAGCTTTTGCAGCAACCTCTGAGACAGTCTCTGTAGCTGTCTCTGTAACTGTCGTTGGCTCTGCAACAGCTCTGAAATAGTCTCTGGAG